GATAGAATGAAAATGCTTAAGTGAACAGTGTGATAGGCTTTCCCAGAACTCCCATCAGTGAGAGATGGAGAAACAGGACCCGTTGCAGGTGAACTCTTCAGAATTGTTTCTCTTGATTATTATAAACATCCTTTGTGTGTCAGAATCACATACATCATTGGAGACAATGAATGCTCCAACCAAAAAAACTACACAAAACAAGTAGGTTCTTCTGTAACATATTTCACAAAACTTGTTGATGGTCTCTCACTTTCCTCCCTGGATACATTCATGTATTGCTGCCCACGGCTTGCTGCAGAGCCGTTTCTCTGTACATAGCACTAAGCTGGTCCTGGATACCGATGGGTGTTTGATGAGCAAATATATCTGTCACATTCATTGATTGCATGGCTTTTGCTGGACAGGGGAGCTTTGACGCACGTATCGAGGCTGTCATATTCAACATCATGGCCTGGCTGCGAAGATCAACCCTCTATAGCCAATAAAACAATAGGTTCTGTTATTCATTCCTACAGCAATCTGACTTTTGAACATGTCTTTGGTTATAGTCTTTGTGGATTTAGTAATTGTACTGACATAGAAGCATCACAGTAGCACTATCGTAAAAGTTTGTTAATATGATCTTTACTTGTTGCAAATAAGAATATTCACTTCCTTAAGTGGAATTTAGAAGCTGGTATGTAGAAGTGGAACACTTCTTATGGATATACAACTTCCTTGTTGCAGTAGTAGGTGCGACGTTTCGGTGTAGATCCTAACATCATTTGCTTGATAACAGTGTTAGGATCTACACTGAAACGTCGCAACTACTACTGCAACAAAGAAGTTGTCTATCCATAAAAAGGGTTCCACTTCAAGAATATTCACTTAAAATATTAAGCTATATTTTATTTCTTCTTCTGAAGATTGTATTACTTTGACGAGATATATTTTTGGTGACTTTGAGGAGGTTTGGATTGTAATCTGGGAGTAATTAACTGGTAAGCTTGAAAATAGATGTAACAGTAATAAATTTGATAACTGCATCTCTTAAGATGCTTAAGACAAGATATATGCTGGAGAGGAACATATTGTATGGACTGACAACTTTGTTATTGATATATATGAGACGTTTCAGTTTTGGTGTAGATGCAATGTTCTGGTGTTACCATCTATAACGAAACATCATCTGTTACATTAAATTAATTGTCAAACCATTAAAAAAAATTCATCTTCATCATACCAGCTTCTACATGCCATTTAAAGGAAGTAAAAAGCTGTATACTACCTCAGTCTTATGTAGTTGTTAGTAACGTCCAGTGTTTTGTGTGAGTGCATTGTGAATAATCTGAAGGCTACAACTGTAACTCTCCTGTGAAACTATCTGAGTCATGGGAGGCTTAGTACAGTTGCCCCCAGAACTGCCAGAAATGGCAAGTCAGGTTTAAAAACTGTTAATTGATTACTCAAGCAAGAATAACATGGCTGATCTTTTTTCATGAGCAACTGTCAAAGCTGACTTGTAAGTCTACAAATCATTTGTGTTGTCTTAGTAACATATAAACAAAAGCCTTGAAATACACGTCTAAGTCATATAAAAATCAATGTATGTCTTGTTTAGTAAAGCAGTAGCTTAAAAGCTTTGTTTACAGAGAAGAACCGTTTCAGAAGGAAATTAATACTGTACACAAAATATTAAGTTATGTTTCAGTAATATTTTATCTATGACATTGTAAAGCTGTTTTAATAAATATATCAAGTAACAAAACATTTACTTCATATTTGTATAACCCTGATTAATTTTCTCTTGACATGTGGTAACAAAAGAATATCCATCAAATATGGAACGTTTGTGTTTGATGTGACACTACACACCATATTGTCTACACTTTGAGTGACAGATCTAGTCTATTTCATGCATGTCAAATCAATAAAGGGGTGGAAGCTGTTGTATAACATGAACCAGGATACTTTGTAGTGAGATGGTTGATTGACAGGAGCATGTAGAACAATGCGTTCATTATTAGACATGTGTGTTATGACATATATAGCCTGGCTGTGACCTGTTTTGGCAACATTGTTCGAAAAAAAAAATGTGCTCAATTATTTTTTCATTATTTTACACTTTATCATCTATTTGTCAGTTTATGGATATTGATGAGCAGCTTATTTACTTATATGGAGATTAATTAGAAAAATTAACATTGAGTTTTATGATGTCACTTCATTATATGTGTTAGTTGTGCCTAAATACATAGATAATTACAGACTTGTACTCCAGTGCTAAAAATTATAAAGTCATTTTTTAATTTTCATGCATGAAATTGGAGCGATAATAGGTGTTTGAGAAATAAGCTGTCTATAATGCAATAAGTCTTTTTGTTAGTGTGATGCATCAGAGAGTAAACATGCTTGTTATGACTTTGGTATACATCAGTTATACATTTAATCTTAGCTACTTGTATTAGCAGGGAAAAACCCCAAAGATGTGGTGGTGTGTACTGATTTACATGAGGTGTGAAGTGGGAAGAGTTTTCGCAAGGTTGGCACACAATCTTCACGCCATCAGACATGAAAAACAGAGCTGCCTAGTCAATAATCAATCAGAAAGTGAAATTGGAAAAGGGATGTGTATTTGTGTTATATAAGTGCTGTGTGCAATCAATTTTACCAGCTTCTATTTGTCTCCAACATGTCCTTTGTGTTTGTGATGAATGTTTAAATATTTGTCACATCAAATGACCCATTTTGATGAACATGAAAATATGCTGATGTGGTGATAAGGGTTTGATATTGAGTGTGATTTATATGACTGAATGAGTTTGAGAGTTGGCATGCTACAGAAAATGATTTTGTCTGAGGAAGGGATGACCCTCAATTACAGGCAGGGGATATTTGTGGACACACATGAGAATCTAGAATAACACCCAGCCTCTTAAAATATATACTTTTTGTAAAAACTAGCAGGCACACTTATATACCATTAAAAAAAGTAGGGGATATTGGATTTACAAGATTGATAAAATGCAAATGATGAAGCCAAGGAGGAAACAGATGATGAGAAATTAAGGGAAAATGTGACAATTTATTTCATTCCTTTGGAAATGTTTCATCTGTATGGATATATATTACTTTTTCTCATATGCATTGGCATTGGCTAGTGGTATGCTTGATAAATGGAATATCACCTACTTTTTTGAATGGTATATTTAAAATGAGATGCAGAACCTGTGGAAAGTCTAGACTTGCGTTATTTTGTCCTACAGTGTTACAGTATGACTTGTGGGGAAGGAATACTTTGGTTCAGGGACACTAGTGAAACATTGTAAACATGCCCCTGTTTTACTGATAACAACATCAGTATTCTTGCACAAGTCTTTAAGGTAATAAATGATAGCTTAAATGATAATTTCTAAAAGAATATTATTAAAAAGAACACATTGTCCCTCGAACAGACTGGTGTCCATAGATTGTGTGCAAAATCTATACTTGCCTCTAGATAGATGATAGAATAGCTATACATCCATTGGCTTAGCATTCAAGACAGACTTGGAGCAAGGCTACAACATCAACCTATATATATTATTTGTTTGATTTACAAAACTTGAAGAGTGATGGGGTATCCTTGTGGTTAAAGTTTCTGCTCATCACGCTGAAGGCCCGGTTCAGTTTCCCACATGGGTACAATACGTGAAGCCCATTTCTGGTGTCCCCCGCCTTGATATTGCTGGAAAAAATGCTATATGTAGCGTACTCTCTCTCTCTCTCTCTCACTCACTCACTCACTCACTCACTCACTCACTCACTCACTCACTCACTCACTCACTCACTCACTCACTCACTCACTCACTCACTCACTCACTCACTCACTCACTCACTCACTCACTCACTCACTCACTCACTCAAAGTTGACCTTAAAGTCATCACCGTCCTCCTTTAAGGTTGTGGGTCCTCTTTGTTTCGACACTGAATGTGGTACACGTTCGTAAGCAGCCTCTATATGTTTGCAATATGATACACATCAGTTCTTACCTCTCGCCTATGAAAACAATGTATAAATAATCCACAATAATATTTTGACAACAGTTTTATGTTTGTCTGACACAGTAGTGTCACAGTGACAATACAAACAATGTTAGCTTCCATTTGGACTCACTTCATTGTTTTCACATACATAAACTGTCTCTTCAAGTTCAGAAGGCCATTCACTGCAAACAACTGATCATGTTTTTTAAACAGTTGTGCACTATGTGATTGTATTGTAGCACAGCTTGGGTTGAAGTGATGGGCATTATTCAAAGAAACCAGATAAAACTGTTCCCTTTTGAAACACATTTTTACACAAAATATTGTTTTGTAAGATGAAAGCTACAAAATTATTTAAATATTCATTAATAATCTCTGCTAAAATCAGTATTATGAGAATGTACTTGTGAAACATTTTCTAATAGTGATGACACCAGATTTTTAGAGACAAACACATGCAAAGTCAAGTCAAATAATTGTTCAAGGCAGCACTATATCAATGAGAGTTTGAAAATACCAATTTTGTCATAGTTTTTCAAATAAGACTTTAATTATGCACTAGGAAATATGGTATGTAATACAATCTCAGCAGTGAAAATGGCGCCAATACTAGCCCCTAATTAATACATCATCTTATACCAATAATCACGGGCTGGTATCAACCTGTTAAGAAATGTTTGCAAGTCGTGTATGGATGACTTTATTTTAATGCTGCTTTGAACAAGATTTCAGGTATCAGTAAGCCTGTCAGATTATGCTGAAGCCCATAAACATGGTCCTAACAAACCTAGAAGTCTAGTAACCCTATTTCTTAATAAAGATTTGGTTTTTATTTATGTGAGTTGTCATTCTGTATTTCAGCTGACAGATTTGAATCACATTTCAGTAATAATGATTCACTTGATTATATTGTAAATAATAAACACTATTGATTATGAGCCTCCAATGGCAAGACCGTATTTCTGGTTACATGTTTTTAATCTCGCTGTTTTCAGATACAGTCCAGCGAAGGAAGCTTGCTCTTTTGTGATGAAGATTGTGGCAGAAAACTGGTATGTCTCTTTTTCTAATTTAATAGTTTTCTTGGAACCGAACACCTTGTTGGCAACTATTGTTTACATCGTTGTTTGCCATTGTAGTTAAATTCTGATATTGATATTGATGTGCCATTGAGAATGACATCTGATAGGGATTATACTTTTGCACTAGTTGCTTGGATATATATAAATATCCTATAATAATAATAATAATAATATTCATTATACTTTTTGGTTAGTATATGAGTGAATGGAAGCATGCTTTTTATTGAATATTCACTTCCATGATAATGCAAGCTATGGAAAGGAAGAATTTAGATATTCTGGTAAAATAATAAATCCTTGTTTCTTGTTACCTGACTAAGAGCCTTTAATTTTCAACTCTGAAAGTTGATTCATCTGTAACTAGTTGTCAAGAAAACATTGTTATGACAAAATGAGTAATGATAGTTACCTGGCACCTGAAACATGGACCACAGGTATACTTTCCCCCATTACAACAGGAGCCTTGAAGAAATACATGATTGATGCGATGTGGAATTGGTTGGATGAAGATTTGATGCAATTATTCTACATATCTGCAGTATTCAGGAGAGTGATGATGCATGTCTCCACAATAACTTGGTTCTGTGCAGAACTAACTTCATTTGCCTGCCCATTGACATGCTGTCTGAGATTGTATATTGGCCATTAAGCAACTGCTGTGTGTGGTATATAATCCCATAACTCACCAATCAAGTACAGCCAATTAGCATTGATGTGTTACAGTGCGATATGCTATCTTGGTTTGGTGGACTACACAGTTTGTGGGGGCTACACCACAGGGGCATGTAGCTATTACCTTAGTAATGGCTGGAACTAGCCATATGTATGGAACAACATCATTCTGATTGGCTACTAAATCATACCATGCTTCCTTGAAGAACCTCATCAGCATGTACCAATGTTTGCTTTGGCGCCACTGCAATAACCGAAGATAACCACCTTGGGTTTTTTCATGGAGTAATTAAGCATGTAGCTATTTGTTGAACATGTGGAACATGGTCATTGACCTCTTGGGTGACCTTCACAGTAGAAGCTACCAGGGATCTGTTTCACAGAGACCTGGCAGACAGACTAACATAGGTCCAATGTTAAAGGGGCAGTGGGGTAGCCTAGTGGTAAAAGTGTTGGCTCATCACGCCGGGTTCGATTCCCCACATGGGTACAATGTGTGAAGCCTATTTCTGGTGTCCCCTGCCAAAATATTGCTGGAATATTGCTAAAAGCGTCGTAAAACCATGCTCACTCACTCACTCACTCTATTGTTATTGATCGTCATGATATGACATGATAGTATGGCATTGAATTTTAACTCACTATATTTAGGTGTGAGTGAATGTGTGATGACTTGTGTCTTGCAGTGCTATGAACAATAGTTCGGTTTATAGTATGTTGACCTAAACTGGTGCAGGTGTTTACCACTTTGGTGAAACCAATGACGCTGGTAGACCATCACAGAAATGGCTCAAGCAGACCAATGATCAGAAGAATGACGCTGGTAGACCATCACAGAAATGGCTCAAGCAGACCAATAATCAGAAGAATGGCTGGTAGACCATCACAGAAATGGCTCAAGCAGACCAATAATCAGAAGAATGACGCTGGTAGACCATCACAGAAATGGCTCAAGCAGACCAATGATCAGAAGAATGGCCCTGGTAGACCATCACAGAAATGGCTCAAGCAGACCAATGATCAGAAGAATGGCCCTGGTAGACCATCACAGAAATGGCTCAAGCAGACCAATAATCAGAAGAATGACGCTGGTAGACCATCACAGAAATGGCTCAAGCAGACCAATGATCAGAAGAATGGCCCTGGTAGACCATCACAGAAATGGCTCAAGCAGACCAATGATCAGAGGAATGGAACTGGCAAACCAGCACAGGTGCTGGCAACTTAGTGAACAAAGGAAAGGAACAGTTACTGGCTAACCAATGTTCACAAAAGTCAATGATCACATAAATAGCTCTGGCAAACCAATAATCAAAAGATTGGCACAGGCAAACCAATGAACACAGGACTGACTCTGGCAGACTAAAGATCAGGAGAATGGCAGACCTGTGTACACAAGAATAGCACTCACAACTCTCCACAGCAAATTGCAGAGGTGTCGATGGCATGTTGGTCTTAATACTTCATGCTCATGATGTAGTTGGACACATACAATCAACTCTGCTTCTGGCAGAGATTTATTTGTGAATGTGGAGAGGGTCCTGCTGCTTTCATTACTGCATCCATTTCCAGTCAGTGCATGATTTGTGGACAGCAGTATCCTAGGTTTCCCTCTATCAATTATCATAGACGTGTTTCCAGATCTGATGGTTGATTGGACACTTGTGTTTCTAGTTACCTCGATAGTCAAAGCTTAAAAAAATATTGTTAGTTTCCATGGATCCATGGAAATCTGAAGAGTTGTGGTTCTGTGTTTTCTGTATGTCAAAGTTCATTTAATATGTAGGATTCAGTATCAATTCCTCTGTATCCTAATTCTGCCGACAGAATATTCCTGATATTCAGAGCACTAAATGTGCAATCCACGGGCATGTTTTTACATCCAAAATATGATTAAAACTCTATGGAACAAGATTGTTTTTTATGTTAGAATAACAAGTCAAATCCCTTGGTCATTTTTTTCCAATAAAAGTAACTTGTGACATTGCTGTGTCCTTTCATTTTACACGTCTGATCAATGTCTTAGCCTGTAGTATTTGGCAGTAGGTTAGCACTATTGCAGGGCTCGACATTCACGCTGTCCCACTAGCTCGGGTCTAGTAAAATGTTGACAGGACCAGTGCAACTTTGGTAAGTGCTATCCCGACGGTCTAGTAGATATTTAAGGCTGTCAATAAGAGTCCCTTAGCAGGACCAGTAAGAATCTGTAAGGGCCAGTGATTTCTAAAAGTTACTGGTCCTGTGCTCTTGTTCGGGAATTTGGGTTAATGTCAAGCCTGTATTGTAATGTTTAGATTCTGTCTGTAGGATTTCATCAGAATTCACCAACATGGAACCAGATTAGATGTATTAGTGTATTGATTGCACAAAAAGCAGTGTAGGATGAAAATGAACCCCAAACAAAAGGAAGAAATCTGCAGTTGTCTATGCATCATAAAGCAGCTAGATCCTCACAGCACTGCTAAAAAAACCTCCTGAATGATGTTGCATGTACATCCTATTTCCCCCAAAACTGTTTAGTGATTAAAATCAGTTAACAGGAATATATTGCTTACTACCTTCATCATAAAGATAAAACTGAGTATGTTTGAAGAGCAATTTTATGGGAGAAAGTTCATACTCAAGTATGAAATGTTATTCTATACAGAAGATGTACTGTTTGAAACAGAATTGCTTTACGGCTCGTTTCACAAAGCATGTAACACTAAGCATCAGAATCTTCATTCTTGATACGATCCTTGCTGCTTTGTGCCTGCCTTAATTTTTGAGTGGTTATTCTGTGACATTGATGGCAGACTTTGTGGCTATGAATCTTTATCAGACTAAACTTTATTTGGTTAGAAAATAAATTTGCCTCCAACCTCTCAGTTTCAATAAATATTGTGCCTGTTAATGCTCTGCTGGTGTCAAGGTATTTATTTGCGTTCCTACATAAGCAGTATGATATGTGTCATCAGTCCTATTCCAATCTTCTTGAGGGTTTTTGTTTTTCTATCTAATCTTGTTTAAATCCATTTACGAGTTTTACACATTTGATGTTAATGATATGTAATTTTGTAGTGAACTATTCTTTTCACACATTTTAACAAAAGGGTTGCACACTTCAATTGTATCAGGGGCGGTGGGGTAGCCTAATGGTTAAAGCGTTGGCTCATCACGCCGAAGACCCGGGTTCGAATCCCCACATGGGTACAATGTGTGAAGCCCATTTCTGGTGTCCCCCCCCGTGATGTTGCTGGAATATTGCTAAAAGCGGCGTAAAACCAAACTCACTCAGTCAGTCAATTGTGTCAGCTATTCTCATATTTTCCCCTCACATTATAACTATAGTGACAAGGACAAATTGCAGATCACTTCCTTCACCTTTCAACTTAGCAATGTCAGCTGATTGCTGTTATCAGCTTAAAGAGATTTCACGGTTTATTTGTTACATCATACCTTGTCTTCAATGTCCATTGGTTTGTTCACACAAAGTGATACAATATTGTACCTGTTTGTTGTCATATCATACTTGGAGATAAATCTGTATATCTTTAGTAAGTACTTAGCTCCTGTTAAAGGTTTAAATTGGTCAATCAAAAAATCCCCCCTAGGTTTCTCTTTACAAACATGCTTTGTGATGAGATTAATTTCTGAATGACATTATTTACACATATTTGAATATTTTCACTTTAAATTTGTTGGAGCAAGAAATCATAGCTAATATACAGCTTCATTGTACAATTACCCAAGGGAGGGGGACAAGTACAACATAAATCTGAGGTGTTTATATACAAATATATATATTATGACAAGATGTGACATTTTGCAAGTTAAATTTTTGTTTCAGTCACTGACCTTAAAGTTTTAACAAATAATATCCATAAACCAAATGTTAAACAAAACACCCAAAATGAACACATTGACACCAAAAGCATCACAATCCTGAGAGATACAGAGGCTGGCTATAGATTTACATGTGGCATAACTTGCTCTTTCTCCTGATTGCCGCAATAATTCATTGGTTGGATGAAAAGTTAAGGAGGAACACATATGTTCCGGAATTAATGTAGTGTGAAGATGTAGAGGCATACATGACAACACAAACCTCATTTTCATTACACTGTTTATCTTCATGTTTATTTTGATTCATTAACTTTCATGCTAAACATATTTATCATTGCAGAATTTGAGACAGATGTCTTCAGCTATGTCAGGCATTAGTAAATTATGGCATGACCCTAAGATGGAAATGTATGTATAAATATATTATGAGTATTAACTACAGATGCTATAAAATGAAAACTTTAAATTATATT